ACATTTTATTAGAATACACTCATGGATTCATTTTGAGCTGGATTTTTTTTTTCAATTAGATCAAAATTTTAAAAAAGTAGTTTTTTTTGCTGCTTCCAAGCTGATGTTTCTGTTTATGAGGAAATAGACTTATTAAAGATGCAGCCAGATGACACCAATAATTGTCACAATAATAAGCAACAATATGAACTCATTAGTGGACCAAACTGAGCTCACCTGCGAGCTAGATGTTGCCCCCGGGCCACCAGTTGAATATCCTACAGTAGTACAAATATAGAGTTTTGATTTTTTTTTTTTTTTTGATCAATACAAAAAAAATGTAATTAGATGCTTTAAAATGCAAATCGGTCCATCAGAAGAGGCAGGGGATCAAACGTAGGTAAATCAAAGCTGCTGTGAGACAAAGTGTGAGATTATTTACTGAAGTGTTTGATCAGCACTTCTCTCTGTTCTTTTTCTGACAGGTCATCAACTACGCCTACAAAAACAACATGGCTTCATTGTATCCTGAGCCTAAAGACAAGGAGGCCTTCGTTCTGTCTCACATCTACAGTCCGGACTACGACTCCTTCACTCTGGACACGTACAGCTGGCCTCAGGACGCCATGAACGTCCAGGACGTCTGATTCGTCTCTTAACGTACCGGTTCACTTCCTCTGGTCAGTCTTCAGATAATTTTCAGCGTTTTGTTGTTTTTCTCAAACACATTAGTAAAACTTTGTTCCTCTCTAAAAACATTTAAAACCGTTAAAAATCTTTTCTGTATCTGCCGAGTGTTGATTTATCATTCACGAGGTTAGCTCTTTACTGTTTGAAGTTTTCTGAATCTGGAGGTTAAATTACACTCCTTTCATTATTTTTCTGTTTATCATGTTGCACTCAACACTTATCTCACACACTCCTCTTGTCTTTATGACAGGACTCAGATATGCTTAAGATACAAAAACTCTCTGTGCCTCTTTTGTTTTCTCTAAAGATGAAGCTGCTCCAAGTTAAAAAGTTAAACTTGAAGAAATATCTTCCTGTTGTTTTTTCATATTATCACWCCTGTTAGTGTTGAAGCTCCTCACTAAATTGGCTTATTTCTGTTTTAGACTRTGATTTGTTGTGAAGAAGAGATGTTTTTAATGAAGGAAGCTTCTGTTTCTTTTTATCATGTCTTTATGGATTTCAGAGCTTTAAAAGTCACCTTAATATGTACTTGGTTGTTTTTGTACACAYTGGTGTGTGTGTGTGTTGCCTTTTAGTTTTGTACAGATCTTTGCTGTGTTTTGGCCAAAGTTACTTATAACATCAATCTTTTACTCCCAAGAATTAAAAGAAAAAACAAACCTGATGCTGTGCAAGGATTTAGTACTGAAACAAACGCTTGAAGTTTTCAAAGGTAACATGTAAACTTTTTAAATAAAAGTCTTTATAAAAGTGTGTGGAGATGAACTTATTTTGATAGTTGAGCAGTTTTGAAAAATTCTCCATGAGCCAAGTAAGTATATGTAACTTTAAGCCAAATGTTCAGCTTGTAAACTATTATTTGGGATTTTCTGCCCCCTGCTGGCTGATTTCACCTTAATAATTCTGTGGGTTATCGTCCCCCTTCACAAAGTCTTACAGGCAGTGGATTAAAAAAATTTGAAAGCAACTGATTCATTTTGAGAATTGTAAAGTTTGTTTAAAAACTATTTGCAGTTGTATCAAAAATAAACTGTTATGACAAATGAATCTTTTTAGCTTGATGTTTTTAGGAGTAAAACCTGACTCTAGCAGTAGTTCATAAACATGGTAAGCACCAAAATATCTAAAAGCAAAGCCAAACCCTATAAAGATGTTGCAGTTTATGACTCAAACAGGATTGCTCCAGCTCAGACCAGCATTCTCAAACATTAAGTTTAATTATAGCTTCAAATAATGAAGCTTTAAAAAAAGACCAAAAATGTTGGCAGAATGACAAAAATCCCAGCTCTTTCCTTTATTTCAGACCAAATGATCAGATAAACATAGGCACATTTTCTCGGTAGAACAGAATTCAGACGCTTCTCTTAAAACAAGTCCTACAATAAACATCTGTTAACTTAGTTTTCTCAAGTTGCTTATAAAACACAAACAGTGAACGTCATAAAATGTCTGTTTTCTTAATATTTGAGTTACTGGAGATGAGAGGCATTGTGAAGATTTCACGATTCAGTTACATTTTTTTGTAACTTCTAAAACAGGCTGAAAGGAAGACGACTAATTAGATTAAAGAGGGATGAACTGAGCTGATTTATTTATTTTTCCTTTAATATAATCCTAATTAGGTCTCTGGATTTGCAGATCATGCACTTTAGGTTATATTGTAGACATTTTAAACACTCCTGTTCATTAATACATAACCTGAAAAAGATGAAAAATGAACAAATCTGAAACAACAAATGATCAGATTATTGATTGTGTAAGGCACATATTGTTCATGTCAGGTATTCTCTGGACTCTGCATCCCTCTGAACAAAGACTTAATTTAAAGTTTGCTGCTGATCAAAGGTTTGGAYGCTTTTAGCTTAGCTGTTGCACAAGATGATTATAATTATTTGTAATAAAAAAAGTTGAGCAGATAGTGAGGTCTAGAAACTTTAGCTCAAAACCTTTCAGTCATTTGAAGTAAGTTTTCTTCAAGCTTCACAATCAAATACAACTTTAGCTCATAAAATAAAAATTTATTCACATGTAAAAAAGATTAAAATGACATTTTGTCCTCCTGCTCTTTGTGATTACGCTTGCCCTATAAAGCTATTTCTGACGACACAGTAGATTACTGACCAGGAGCAGCGTGTTTCCTGAGGGTTCTCTGCAGGAACAGGTGAGAACAGAAGCTGCTGCGCTCTGGTTTAAAATAAATACGGTAGCAGAGCAGGAAAAGCAAACATCTTCTTTGATGAACTGCCTGTACAATAAATAACAAGCCACCAYACTGCTTCTGTCATAAGTCCTATGACATAAGATATTTTAATCTTTAAAATCTTATTTATTTTATGGTAAATTTTACGATCAGAATCACGTTTATGAGGCTACGTTAGTTTTTACCTGCAAACTAACTAAKTAAATAAATAAACAATCATCCATGAGCTTGAGTGGCAATTCGTTTTAAGACAGGGGTGTCTAATCCTGGCCTTCGAGGGGCCGCTAACCTGCATGTTTTTACTTGTTTCCCTGCTTCGACACCTAATTCAGTGATTGAATTACCTCTTCAAGTTCTGCAGATGCAGTTAATCCACCGTTCAATCTAACCAGGTGTGTTGGAGCAGAGAAACCTCTGGGCCCCCCTCGACGAGCCAGGATTGGACACTAGGGTGGTCCCAAAATACAAACTTCTACTTTTCCAAGGTGCTTCTTCATTTTTTTTGTTCCATTTGGGGGGAAATAAATGGGGTGAAATTTCATAAGATTTGAAAACTATTAACCACTGCCGCTCTGCCCGTTTTTGTGCCATGTGAGTGAAATTTTGAGTTTTGATTCTGTCATTGCCAAGACCACCAGCGAGACATTAGCCAGAAATCTGTGGTATCTGAGTAAAGAACTGGCCGGACTTATATTTGACAGAAGCATTGCACATGATGATTGTAGCTGTTCTCAAGGAGGAAGGTCACAATGATCCCAGTCATGTGCAACAGTGGACCTAGAAGCAAATGAAGCTTATTTGTTACTAAAACTGTGGCAGATTTTGTTACATCTGCCTCAAGACCCATTTTGAGGCATTCAGCATCAACATGAACTACCTCATCAACGACCCATCAGAATGGGAGGATGACCCATCATTCAATCATGGCAGGTTCTGTGTAGCATTATGATGCCAATGACCAGTGATTAGGATGTCAATGACACTTAGGGTTTTGGGTTAGAGTAGTGGTGGAGGGGAAACTGGCACCACGCCGGCCTCTGCCTCTTCTTCTTTCCTTTTTTTAAATTGCTCTATAGAACAACACGCACCAACAGTACATCTGAGGGTGTGGGTGTCAGGGTCTTTATTCCCATCCCGTTCCCTGACTGCCATTTAGGGAGGGGGTCCTGAAGAAGGGCAGACCGCCGGGTGCAGTCCTGGGCTGTGGGTGGGCTCGAGGCTTGGATGGTTGCCGGGGGCGGGGCTGGCTCTCCATCCTCCCTGGTGCTGCTTGGTCTCCTGAGGTCTGGCTCTTGGTTCCAGTGGGTGGCCCGCTGGCCGGGGTGGCTGCTGGGTTCCGGGGGGTGGNCTATTATTATTACTATTTTTATTATTATTATTATTACCGTCAATGGGGACTTGGTAGTTTTTGTATTCTGGAAAATAATCTTCCAGTTTAGATTTGCCGGCCAAAATCTTATCAGCCAGAACATCCTGTTTGTTCAGGAATAAAATCACCGAAATGGTCTTCAGAAACCTGCAGCCAATCAGAGAGCAGAGTGTCATCTCCAGCCTATCAGAGCGCATCGAGCAGAGATTGTTGTACCTGTTGGTCCAGATGGATCTAAAAAGGTCAAGAGACTCTCGCAGCCGGTTGGTGGAGTTGTCCTCTCTGATCACCATGTTGTAACTGCTGCTGGCAGCCACAAAGATGATGGCCGTCACGTCTGAAGGAAAGGAAAAAAACCATCACAGATCTGTAGTTTTAACCAACTCATTTTTGTTTTCTTACCATTAAAACACTGGATCCACTTCCTGCGTTCATCCCTCTGACCGCCTACATCAAACATACTGAAACACACAATGTCTGACATTTACTGACCCCTGAAGAAAACTTCATCACGGTCTGCTTTGTTCTGGAGAAGTATCCCAATAAAGCACAGGCTGGAGTAAACATGTGCTCAGATCTGAGGACCAGATGAGTCCAGACTTTCTTAAACTCACTGGAAGTTGACTTTGTCCACCTGAAAGCGGGTTTCAAAGATCCCTGAGGTCAAAACTCGGCAGCGCAACAAATCCTGTGAAAGACAGAGGAAATTGGAGTCACCCTGRATGCTGCACCCTGACTCTTTGGAGTCTCACCTGGTCAGTAGGTGTGTAGTCAGTCCTCCTGACAGCCTCCAACCTGTCCAGGAAGCTGAAACACAGAAATCAAGTGTTCAGTTAGTTATTCTGTTCCTACAGACGTTTGTAGGGCTGCTGTGTCCAGCTTGGCCACTAGATGGCAGCCCATGTTACACACTGTGTTTAAAGTTTATCTGACAGAAAAGAAAGCTCAATTASAAATCTTATTTAACTAATGCTGATTGAAAAAGTCATCCCAGTTAAACATTCATCACCTTCCAGCACTGGTGCAGGAGCTAGTGTGTGTGTGGGGGTGTGTGTCTCTTACTACTGTGCGCAGTCGATCAGCTGATATTCGTTAGAGCGTTCAAAACAAGCCTTCACACCATCGTCCTCCCACAGTTTCTGGACATGGTCAAAAAAGTCCTGAGACAAAGACAGAGTGAGGAATGTATGCTGCAGACAATGAAAACATTTGATGAGTTCTTCTAACATGTAATCAGTAGCATGTCTTCTCCTCAGGTGACTGATCTGATTGGACGTAGTGACAGCACTGTGATGGGTGTGTTCTGCAGACCAATCAGCTGCAGAGACAGTGACAGTAGAAGAAGAGAGAAGAGGTTTGTTTTGAGTCTTCATGCTCCTCAGAGACAGAGCCGTTCAGATAATGAGGCCTCAGGTGACTTTCAGGTGTGTGTCTCTCAGGTGAACTTGTTACATCATGTCATTAGCATCATTACAACAAACAAGGTGGTCTCCAGGTGCTGCTTTATAGGAGCAGTTCACCTTTTATCAGCTCACCTCTCTGTGACAGCACCTGTGTGTGTGTGTGTGTGTGTGTGTGTGTGTGTGTGTGTGTGTGTGTGTGTGTGTGTGTG